TGTACAAGTTAACACTTCTGTTAGGAAAAGTCTGGAGCATATTAGTGAGTTTATAAGTATGCATATTAGTATCTGGTGTCCATCAGAAAATATTAAGAAGTAAAGAGACAAATAACACATTACTCCTGATCCTTAATATTTTGCTTTTCCTTCTTTCTACAGCGATGGTACAAACTTCTATGAACTATAAAACTATAGGTGAGAGACTGTTTACCTGTAGTAAGGAGTGTAAGAGTAGAGATATTTAGTATTTACTAGGAAGCCAATTAATGAAAAAATTAGGTTGCTTTTAAAAGTAACCAAATGTCTAGTTAGTTCCCTTATAACATACTTAGTTACAAGCTCACATGTAGTATTTGTTTGCCCATTGTTGACAATGTTTTGCCCATTCCATTTTCAACAAGTCTACTTTATTCCATTTTATTTTTTGCTACATATACTTCCTCCATATTACTAAAATTAGTCGCCAGCATTTGTAGTGACTAAGGAGATAACCTATGAGTGGGTGAAATTGACTCATTTCAAATCTTCTGACTGCTACTGTAGAAATGCAGGAAGAACTCATGGCTACAGTTGATATTTCTAGCAGTGTTAGGAGACCAATATGAAGTCTTTGGTGCTCCTCCTCAGTTATTCCTTTTCTTCTGTGTCTGAGGTGAATATTAATGTAACTATGATAGAAACTCTCTTTATACCAAGAATATGAGTTAACTAAGAATTTTAAGCTGAGACCCCTTAAGAGTACAATTCTATTTTTATTATTATTAATGTTTTTTTTATTGTGAAAATACCATACAGAGGGGTTACAATTACATGAGCAAGGTAATGAGTACATTTCTTATCAAGCACTGTTGCCTCCTCCTTTGTTTCCCCTTACTGTCCCTGCCCTCCCATCTTCCCCTCCCTCGCCAAAGTTGTCAAGTTTGTTTTTCAACATAAAGTCTTGTACATCTCATTGTTGCAGTGGGTCTACCTGTATCCCTATTTAAACAATTTGTTTTTTTTTTCGCTTCCCCTCCACAAATTATACCAACATCAAATACAGTGAAAACAGGGGTTATACCGTCAGGGAGGGACATAAAAAGCAACAAAGAAATCATCTTATAAATATATTAGAGTGTACTTTGTTGTCAGTAGCTACTTTATAGCAAGTTATCAGTGATATTTTTAATTGTCATTCTTTAATTTCATGGAATCTTTCTAATTCATAAAAGATATAGCTAATTGATAAAACTAAAATAATATGGGTCAGATACTGGTGGCTTCTGCCCATAAGCTTATCAATCAACTCAAGAGGCTTAGATCCTCAGATCTAAGCCCAGACAGACAAATCTGAGACTATCTCCAATTGACCAGCAAAAAGCCAGTGACTCAGGTGGCAGAGTGTCAGCACTGAGTGAAAAAGGACTGAAAGCATGTGGCACTGAGTTCAGTTTCCATTATCAGCACAAGAAAAATGAGAGAGAGAGAGACAGAGAGAGGGAGAGAAAAAATCAGATATGCCATTCTTTTCTATTTTTTCTTGTTTTTCTATTTTTCTTGTTCTATTCCTGAAGTCTTGTAAATACTGTGTGAAAACACAGTGAAAATATTTACTAAAAAGAGGTGGATACTAGATATTTCTTGTATATGTTAAATGTTGATAATAATTTAAAAAATGAATAAAAATGAATGAAAAGTTCTGTTTGCAGAAATTTGTACAAGTAGTTAAAACAGTAAAGAAGATATTTAGGGGAGCATGATTTTGTAGGTCATAAAAAGATGGCAAAAATGATAACACTTAGAAACGCTGAACTGTGCAAAGAAGAAGATAATACAAGGAAAATAAATTGTATGTATGCTCATTTTTTATGTGTCAAATGTAATTTTTATCAGTTCTAAGAGTTTGGTGATGGAATCTTTGTACAGTCTTTTGGTTATAAAATATCTTCTGTAAATAGAAATGATCTGACTTATTATTTGAATCCCTTTATTTCCTCTCATATTGCTGTGGTTAGGAATACTAGTAATACTTTGAATAAAAGTGGAGGGAATAAACAGTTTTGTCCTGTGAGTGTTCGTAGAAGGAGTGATTTAGTTATTCCCTCTTTAGTATAACATTGGCTATACGTTTTTATTGAATGGGAACATTTTTTATTTTGATAATTCTAAGAATTAGTGTGCACTACTTCAATGTACATATCTAAACTATCAATAATGTCATTTGCAATTGATAAATAGATTAATTATGTTCTGTAATGTAGAAATTGTGTAGCTTCATGTGATGGCATACACTTGGGGTGATTTGGTTCTAGGTAAAGGGAGAGAAAATAGTGTAAAATTATAATCTTGGGTGGGGAAAAAAGCTCTTATATTGTATGCTATAGAGATTCTTTGGACTCAGTATTGAGAATCCAAATATTAAATAATAAAGCAACAACAATCATAATCACAATGAGAATAATGCAATGCCAGGATCTAGACATACAAATTTTATACATTTGGAGGTGATAGTTACCCCATTCCTATTTCAAAGGTAAAACCCAGAGATTGCCGTCTAGAATTTCTAATGAAAATGTTGCCAGCATTTTTTCTTGTTTTAAAAATAATTCTGGGATGAGCTGCATCCTTGGGTGGTCTAAATTATCTTCCAAGGTACCAATGTTATTTGCGGTGATGATCTTTTCCCAGAGTTGCATACATTCTTAATGGTCTTCTTAGAACCTAATTTTCTACATCTTATTATTTTACTTATCCCATCTTATTGGCAGTAGAAAACTAATTGTCAGATAACTTAAAACCCATTTTAAGAATGTTAGTCACTTCTAGCCCTATATCTTAGTTTCTGGAAATAACAATCTGTTAAATATTTTGTAATGTCAAAAGTAGGTCCTAAGAGAGATTATTTCATTTTTCTATTACTTCAAATGTTACATTCATTTCTTATATCAATCTTTATAGCCCACTGGGTTGCTTTCTTTTTTTTTTTGGCAGTCCTGGGTTTGAACTCAAGGCCTGGGTACTGTCCCTGAGCTTTGTTGTGCAAAAGTAGCAACTCTCCTATCACGGCAACAGGTCTACTTCTTATACTTTCCTGTCTCAACTTGCTTGAACCTTGATCCTCAGATATCAAGCTCCTAAGTACTAGGATCATAGGCATGAACCACTGGTACTCTATAAGGTAATTTTTAAAATCTCCAAGAATTTTAAATAGCATTCAAAATTTTTTCTATACTTCTTCAGCAAGAACATGTATTTAGTTATTGGTTCTTTCATATATAAATTATTTCTTCTTACCTAATAATTCATTACAATTTAAGCAGCTAGAAATAGTAGGCCAAAGACTATATCATTTCTTTCTACTAGAGAAATATTTTCCATATAAAGAACCAGATTCAGATAATTTCTGACACATTAATTGAATATGTATTTTTATTAAGTGCCTACTTATTTTTCAAGGGAATTTTAATTGTTCTTACGGTTTTCTATATTAATGAGAAAATGGGAGTGTATTTATGTTAAATAATTATTTTGTAGAGACAGAAATATGAAAAAATCCTTCTAATAGATTGAAAATTGTTAATAAAATCTCAATGCTGTTACCTAAATATAATTTTTACTAGCGGATGGGAAGTTTTTCTCCATACCTCATGTATGTATGTAAAATATTCAGGTATGTATGTACATCAGATATTTTCATAAAAATGTAACATGACATTACTAGCAGAGGTTGATCATGATAGGATAATGATAAAGCAATTTTATAAGTTTGAGCAACACCAGTTCATTATCATGGAGAATATGTTTGGGCTTAACTTACAAGTTTAGAATTTTTTAATATAAATTATTTTAAAAGTTTTTTTAAAATTTAAAATATTACAATCACTTTTACTTCTTAACTTTGTGTCTTTGGTCTCATTCCTCATGTATCTGATTCAAAATTATTTCTTTCAAACTCACTCCAGTCATTCATGTGATGATGCATGAAGATGCTTAGCCCACACCTTCTACATCATATGTTCATGTAAAGATTAGCTGTGAATATTCTGATCATTATTCAATTTTGAAATCATGTGCATTCGCTGCTTAATTCCCTATGCTTATTGTATTTAGTAACCTAGGCAGGAATGGTCTGTTGAATGGTTTAGCTGCTTTAGTGAGCTGCACTAATGCCTTAATTTAACCAGATTTCATGGAATGAAACAAAATGAACACCGTAGCTCCTGGCTGTCAGTTGTGAAAAATAGCTGGAAATTAGACAAACAGCTCATTGCTGAAATTGTTTCCGGGGCTAAAAGTTCTTCCAACAGCTGTTTGTTTTGGCCATTAACATGTCTATTCTCCTTTCTTCTTCTTCTTCTTCTTCTTTTTTTTTTTTTTTGAGGGGGAGGAAGTAACATTTTCTTTAAAAAGAGAATGCAGGCTGGTTATTTCTGGCCAGGAAGAACTGTCCTCCACTGCTTCCACTATTGTGGGTTTTTTGGATTCTTTGATGCACTCACTGAAGGCTTTTCCTTTTGTTTTTCTCTTTTTTTCTTTTTTGCCTCTCATAGCTCAGGCTCAGATTGCTGCAGTACGAAGAAAAGATAAATCTAGGGGCTCTTTCATTTTCAGGATGGAGCTTTGTAGCATTTGCCTTGCAGAGAAGTTTGCTCCCCAAAGGAATATTTAGAATTACATGGACACTCACTAAGGGAGTGAAGGTGTGGGGGCTGGAAGGGGGGAGATAGAGAGGGAGACAGGGAGGGAGAGGGAGAGGGAGAAGGAGAGGGAGGAGAGGAAGAGGGAGAGGGAGAGGGAGAGGGAGAGAATTTCCCATCTAGCTAGCAAGCAAGATACTTAACTCAAGATGAAAGGAAGTTTTGCCTCTTCCTGAAAGTTATATTATTAGTTTTTAAAGAATCAGGATGGCTGCTATTTTTTGTTTAAAATATTTGTTCTGGAAATAGTAAAGCTGGAGTCTACCAGACTGAGGTTAGGAGCATTTTCTTTGGCAGCGAAAAGATCCCTTTATACAAGCCATGCCTGTACTTGGGGTTGCCTCAAAACTCAGTCACCCAGCTGTTGAGCCCAAGCCTCTTCACACTGCTCTTCAGATACCAAATCTTGGCACAACTCCTTTGCTATCCTATTCTTCGAGACCTGTGGAACTTGCTGAAACTCAGATCTCCATGCTGTCTTGTCAGCTCACATTACAGTCCACTTGTGAATTTGGAGATCAACACAGCCTCCAAGAAAAGGACAAGGAGAAAGAAGACAGCCAGGTTAGTAGCTGAGGATCACCTGTAGACTTCATAGGTCAAATGCAGGTTTCCTTTTAGTTGGAAGACAAGCATGTTGGGAAATGGGGACTAGTAGACAAAATACCAAAGAAAGGAAATATGCAGAATAAGCGAAGGAATGAATATTTAGTGTATATAAAAATCTGTATTTTAGCTTATTATTGCAAAATTAACAAAACATTCTGACTGTGCATCTATTGCAATTAGTATATTTGTTAGTGAATTGCTTACTTATTGATATAGTAAATTTCTAGATACAACTCTGGCACTAATAACCACTAACAATTAGAAATGTGAGAAACTGAACATATTTTCATATATTTATATATGTGTGTATATGTCATGGGAAAGTTTTACTTATAAAAAGGTGACACTGACACTTACTTTAAATAACATTTGCATTTGAACTAGTTTGTTTGAATAGTTGCATCTCAGCTGCTTATTTTATTGCAATGTGTAGGATAATGAAATAAGATTGTTATTGCACATTTGTCTTGTTTTTCACTTGTAAATTGAAACCTGCTGCTTCACTTATTACTGACATATTTTTGCAGTCATTGAATGTACATTAAACTGTGAGTAGCAGCTCTGAGCCATCTTATAGTTGCTCTCTTCAGATGTAGAGTGCTGTGTTGGCCCTGCCAGCTGAAGACCTTCACTGGGTCCCATCTTAATGAGCATCACTGTTTAATGCAGCATTAGTTGTAATATCAAGTTTACCATTCTCACCTTTGACTTCTTAGGTAGTGATTTAATTTGATTTCCCTGCACAAATGTCAGTTAAAAAATAATTAGGGAGAATGCCATATAGAGAAACTAACATTGAAAATAAAATTAAGTTGCCCTTTGTGTCTAAAATGTCCAAGACAGCATGTTGAAAATGAACAATTTTTGGCTGGGGGGGTGGGAGGGAAGAAAGGAGTTGGGGAGGTGGGAAAGAAAGGGATGAAAGGAGGAAAATAGAGGAGAGTGTAACAATGCTCCATAGGAAATGGATTCATTACCTTGATCCTGTAACTGTGACCCTTCTGTACAGTATCTTTACAATAAAAATATATATGAAGAGAAAAAAATAAAATGTCCATTCCCTCTACTTTACCTGTTCAGATTTTTAAACTTCAATACAACTACAGCCATCATCATAAAGTCTTCAGTAGCTATTCATCCTCTTGCCTTTCTTGTGACTCTTTTGTGTGTATCCACAATATTTATTTTTATTCTGTTTCATTGTAGAAGTGTTTTCTCTTTCCACTAAAATGAAAATACATAGAGGATCAGCCCCCTCTCCACAAGGCCTCATGGCACAATAAGGGTTAAATAGTAACTGAGTGAATGAATAAAAAGGTGAATGAATTGATGAATGAACAAAATGGTAATGGTTACAAAGATTTAAAATTAATTGATATCTTTGGGTCCTTTACCTTTAAAACAAGATATTTGTAACGGATAATTTTGAAGTGCAGAGAATTGTCTTAAGAATAATTAAAATATGTATAGGCTTATGGGTATCCATGAAAGAATTCAGAGCAAAAGTAGGGAAGTATAAATTATTAACAAAGGATTTTAATAGTTATTTTTCTGCACTAATTAAAATTGACCAGCTAACTCTGCGAGGATACAGTACTTGTCAAGATTCAGTGCCATAGATAGTTAGTTTCTTTATGGAATATAGCTGTTATTCAAATTCTGCAAAATATCCTTAGTTTAAGACTCAACCACTTTGAGCCCTGTTTTCAATAGATTTTTTTAGTTGATTGCCTTGGTTACCATATCAATTAAACATTTGGTGTCCCATTCAACTCCATGGCAAGAAAATGTGTATGTATACTTTTAGGAATTTTGTTTTTACTATGACAGTTTCAAGATTAAAATCCTTCTCAAAGAAATGGAAAGAGTACCTAGTTTGCATTCATAGTATTTCTAAATGTTCAAAAAGTGTTTAATGCATATTCTCTGAAAGTAGGAACATGGAAAGGGGGGTTGGGTTGGGAGGGAAGGGAGAGAATGGTGAAAAGAGTGATATGGATCATGATACACTGTATTTATGAATTGATACGTGGAGTCGTAACCCCTTTGTACACCAACTTGAAGGTAATAAAAGATAGTTATGTATTTTTAACCTGAAAAGCTAAGAAAAATAGATAGTTACATTAGGAGGAATTAGATTGCTGCAAACAGGAGAAAAGTGAGTGTAATGGTAGTATACACATAAGAATATTTCTTTTCTGGTTAAGGAACTCTGGAGGAAAGCAGTCCATTGTTGATAAGGTGCCTTCAGAAACTTGTCAGAAAGACCATTGAGGTCTACCCAACTATCTAGACACTAGTGTCTAGTTAAGAGTTCTCCAACTAGTTAAGAGTTCTTTGACCTCTCCTTGGTGCACATAAAGTTCCAAGACTTTACCTAGTCATAGTGGAGACTGGAAAATGCAGTTTTTATTCTAGGCAGACATATGCCTAGCTAAAAATTATGGGTTCTACTTCTAAGAAGAAAGAGACCATGGATAGTACCCACAATAAATGACTGTCATTAAAAGAACATTTATGTGGAATATACAGCTACTCATTGCACAAAATAGTTTTACAATCTGGTTTGAGAGAACAAATGACTATTTCTGAAATATGTCTTCAGTCCACTACTTCCTTTTCCTAGCCATAGATTTTCATTTGAGCCAATGCCATAGCTCAACTCATGTAATCTTGAGCTCTAGGCTAGTATCTGATGGCTTACCTAGCCAATTTATATCATGTCACTTGGCTGATATTGGAAGCTCTCGCTTCTGTGTTCTAGTTTTAGATTTATCCTCTTTCCACATCCCTATCCTGTGGTGATCACTTTACACCAGTTATTTCAGTTGATTCAGAGCTAGTATTCTATCGCTCTTCACCATCACCGACCCCCATCCCCCACACAAATTGTACTTGTTTCTAATGTCTTCTAAGTACTTTATTGAGGCATATTATTCTCCAACTTTTATTGCCTCTCTTTCTTCTATCATAGTTCCATACAATTACTGTCTCAGCTCATCCTTGGTGCCCAATGTTCTTAAAACAGAATAGTTCCATTGGCCTTTAATAAATAACACGAGTTCTGGATTTCACACCATATACAGTTGGAAAATATGCCGTGACATGTCAAAGTCTTACGTTTCACTTAGCTGTTTCATGTTCTGACTTCTTACTTATCTTGAATTTCCACATATGTATTTATTTTTTTTCTGGACTTTTGCCTAAACTAGTAATAGTGTCATTTTACCTTAAAAACCTTTAAATAAGAGTCTGGAAATTAAGTTTTAAGAGAGAGGATTCTGTTGGTTGCAACTCAACAAACAATATAATAAAGGTTAGGTGTCCTGTTCGTGAAAGTCTCTTGGTCACACCTACCACATTAATTATTTTTGAACCATAATTTGATCTGTTTTGTTTCTGCTTTCCTTTCCAGCTTCTTTTTACTTAGGATCTACTCACTCTTCCCTTTTGATTCACCTGTGTAACTTTAAGATATGTTGTTGTTGATAATAATGATAAAGAGGGCAATTATTTTTTATTATCTATTTTATCCATAGGAAAATTTTCATTTCATTCATGTAACATTTCTAAGAAGGTACTATTATTCATACTTACAAGAAAGAAAACACAGCTTAGAAAGAGTAGGTAATGAGAATAAGATGGAATGGTTGAGTAGTACTGAAGTCCAGAATTTGAATGTAGTTGATCTCTTTGAAGTTTTTTTTTTTTGTTTCTCTAATTTGCAGCCTCTCTTCATGGTTGTGTTAAATATTTGTCCTTAGGTCTACCTTGTCCTACAAATCTCTGTAAAAATCATTTCGAAAGTCAAATAAAAATGTGAACAAATTGTTGTAAGGGCAGAAAGAAAAGGGATCATTACATTCAGCCAGGGATATCTAAAATTTTTTTATCAAAGACTTGGTCGGGATTTTTGTCCATGTTATTATGCATTTTTATTTAATTTTCTTAGTGTAGAGTTGTAAGAGACACCAGAGTAGAGCTTGAAAAGGCCAGAATTGATATTTTGAAAGAAAAAGATATTAAAAGATATTAAAAGATACTAGTACAGTTGTTTCTGATTTAGATAAACACAATATTGAATAGTAATGAATAGTAATATTTATGAGTATGATTCTTTTGGAAGTTTGTAAGGCTGAGAGAAATCCTATTTCCCTGGGACATAAAGAAAAGTAAAGTTTCTGGAACAGAACTGGGAGGGTGACTTTTGGAGAGGGGGATAAGACTCTAGGAAGTCTAGAAAGAATTCTTTAGAGAAAAGCCTGGTGTGGAAGAATGACCAGTAAGTAAGCCATTACAGTGGAAGCAGAATATTCCTGTAAATTAGATTTGTCAGATTATAAGTGAGAAACAACTTCATGAGGTAAACAGTGAAGAAAGCTCTCATTTCAGAAGGAGTTAAAATTATTTCTGCCATATTTAGGAGAAATTACAGCTGGGAAGGCCTAATACTAACTAATGTTGTTCTTGTTGTTTGGTTTTATATGAGACAAAGCCCCACTCTGTAGCCTGAGCTTTCCATCAACTCATGATGCTACTGCCTCAGTCTCCCAGATAAGGGATTATAGATATACACCACCATATCTGACTTCACTAATATTGTTAATGTTTTGGAGATGCCAAGTACTGAAATAATTCATAGAAAATCTCATTCAGTCTTTGCGATAGCCTTAGGATTGAGGCACAGGCATTGTTATTGTCCTAATTTTTAAAGAAGCAGAGACGGAAGTTTAGAGAAGATAAATTATTTGCCATTAATTCAATAGAATAGTGTGAGAGAATGAAGATTCACAGTCAAGTTGTATATTTGCTGAACATGTTCCTCTTAACTAATAAAATAAATTGCCACAGTAAAGACTTCTGATGGGTTTGTGGAGAAAGGAAAGATTACTGATAGATTGATTTCTATATAGCATGTAGGGCTTCAGTCTTAAAATTACATTGCTAGCAAAATC